TTTAGGGGAGGAAAAAAATGGAGAAAAATACAGACATAAGGGGAAAAAAGGACTGGTCTCATGTAAATGGATGATCAAAAAACTTGCCTGACCATGTCCTGTCTATGCCCTATCTTATTACATTTCGTTCCCATTTGTTTCCAAATATGAGGAAATCTATACTCTATGTAAATATGTCTAAGTACCAGCAACTGGTGTGTGACCTTGTGTGAGAGGTGCCTTATACCTTGTGAGCAGCAGTTGGCGCTTTTAGGTGGATGCAAGGGCCAGCTCCAGGGTAGACTGCATTTTTAGCTAAGCTTCTCCAGTAATTCACATTATACATGTGTTTCCTCCCACATTACCTTCTGATCAGGCTAAGGGAGGAACAGGATGATGACCTTAGTGCTATTCTATTTTTATAGGAATGCTGAGTATATCTGCCTGTGCTGATTTAATTGGTGTGCTGTGTATATATAGTATGCGTATGTTATATGTATGGTAAACATATGTGCTTCTCATGTATGTGTGTAATTACTAGGAATATATCCTGAGCCTAGCTACTGGTTGGATCTATGTGTGGTGGTGAATCAAGTTAAATCTATCTGATGACCTGTCAGAAGTGGTGTTTCCCAGGGATTATGACTGGATTCAGCCCTGTTTAGTATCTTTATTTATAATCTGCCTGGGGGGTTTGAGTGCACCCTCAGTAAATTTGTAGATGACACCAAAATGGAAGGAAGTGTTGATCTGCCTGAAGGTAGGAAGGCCCTGCAGAGGGCCAGAGGGACCTGCAGAGGTGCAAAGATATGTATGGGGAGAATCACTCAGTATTCTGTGACAGTAGTGGAGGAATGGTCATCAAGTCAAACATATTGATGGTCTACGCTTGGGCTTATACTTTTCTTTCTTTCCATAGGTTGAATGTGGATGGAAATGTGTGAATACTGTTGGAGCAAATGCTATAGGACCCTGGAGACAGATCAAGCCATTGAAAACCTGAAGAAATTAAAGGGAATGTGAGAAGCTAAAAAAGTTGATCCAGCTCATCTGACTTCATCAGACCCTTGATGATTCACTCAGATTGAACAGTTTGTAGAAGGCAGTGCAATTACACTCTGAAAGTTATTGCTTCATCTAAATGCACCTCTTCAGTTGGGATAAAACCAGGTCTTGGCTAAAATGAGTGTGAGTAGAAACTGATCCCAAATAAAGGTAAGAAATCAATGGAATTTGCTACTCATCTGTTTATTCATTCTTTCCTTGTGTCTAATATTGCTATTGATTCTACGCAGTTCACTTCACCACTGAGGAGATAGTAAACAAAAACGGATCCCCTTGGCACACATTGGTGCACCTAGAGTTCCTAGAGGAACATCTTTTACACAGCAACACAAGGAGACTCAGGACTTATGCTTGATCGATATACATGCAAAAATTTGAAGATGTGTGCAATCCTTTCAATAAGATGTAAGGCCTATTGCCTCCCAGCACGGCTTCTACTGAAGTGTGTAAGGCTTTTTTACTGCTCAGTGAGGTTTGGAATTGACTAATTAGGAAAAGTTTACTATTTTCTTTGCTTTTATTGTCAAGAGAAATTATAACATTAAGATTTTAATGAACTCTCAAGCTAATGGGATTTCTTTCTTTTTGTCTGAGCCTTTGACTTTTGTTCCTAGTAAAGACAAGACATTCTAAACTTGCAGATTCAGTGGATCAATGTGCCTTTGTGGGAGACAGGATATATACTTCTGGTCAGAATTCTCTGAGTCCAGATATTTGGTGAATTTTGCACCCACGTAATCTCTGTTGTATCCATGTTTGGCTATAAGAATAAACCGGGAGAGAGGGCAGAAAGTGATGATAAAGCCAATGTGAACAAAACTTTCTCTTATCTACTTGAATGGTTTGAATCATTTGATCATTGGATGTTCAGGAGAAAAGTTGGACAGGTTACTCTAATCACAGAAATCACAGAAACACCAAGGTTGGAAAAGTCCAACAGTCCACCTATCACCAATAGTTCTCACTAAACCATGACCCTCAACACAATGTCCAAACGTTCCTTGAACACCTCCAGGGTCAGTGAATCCACCACCTCCTTGGGCAGCCCATTTCACTTCCTGACCACTCTTTCAGAAAAGTAATATTTCCTAATGTCCAGCCTAAATCTCCCCTGGTGCAGCTTGAAGCCATTTCCTCTAGTTCTATCACTAGTTACTAGTTACAAGAGGCCAAAGCCCAGCTCACTACATCCTCCCTTCAGGTAGTTATAGAGAGCAATAAGGTCTCCCCTGAGCCTCCTCTTCTCCAGACTGAACAATCCCAGCTCCTTCAGGTGCTTCTGTTAAAGCCTGTGCTCCAGACCCCTCACCAGACCTGTTGCCCTTCTTTGAACCCACTCCAGGGTCTAAATGTCTTTCTTGCAGTGAGGGGCCCAAAACTGGACACAGTACTTGAGGTACGGCCTCGCCAGAGCTGAGTACAGGGGGATCTGTCACACAAAGTGCAAGCAAACCTTTAAAAACAGATAGGACTTGGACCCTGTGAAGTGGATAAGACAAATTTCAGCATCACATCTAGGAAGGAAGACTTCAGCTCCTTCAGGGATGTATTTATCAGCAGATGAGCAATCTAGGAGGGATATAGAGACATTATTTATATATGCAGAATTGCACTAAAATCAAGGAGAAGGATGAGGAAAAATTGGACCTGCTTCTAAATAGGACAGAATATCTACTGACCAAGCATGAGCTGAAAACTGCAGTGCCTATATTTTTGCTTTGTTTTTCCCTGGTGATGTCTTCCTTCTAGCATCCCTGAAATGAGGGAAGAATCTACATGATAACCACAGAGAGGAAAGATCAAGATCGGAGGAATTAAGGAAATTCAGCCTATACAAGTCCAGATGCAGATGTAGGTTCTTTGGTTTCTCTTTGTTTTTCTTTGTTCTTCTTTCTTTATTTCTCCCCCCTCCCCCCCCCTTTTTTTTTAATTCTTCATATAAGAAGTAGTCATATCTTAGAATAGCTCTAAAGAATACGAAGTATTTCTCAAAGTAAACCTTTCACTGTCTAACATTATCTTTGTATGTAAGCTGGATTCCTCATAAATAAGTAAATAGTGAACTAGCTTCATAAGCATCACAGTAGTGAAAGGGCCTTCTCTATATTTGATTCCACTTGATTCTTCCACACTCCCAGGACACACCACAGAATGAATGAGGTACCCTGAAGGTACACTGTATGTGATGTGTGTTTAGAACTGATCTCACGGTGGGTTTATTGCAGTCCTCTTTCCACAGAAGTCTCTCATCTAACTAGTATGATTGCTGCTGATCACAGCGATGGCTAGGCACTCTCTTAAATACTCTCATCTTTCTTTCTACATCCTTTTACTCTTTACTATTTCTGCATACATTTACTCTGTACCTTTATAGACCACAGCACATATTCCCAAATCTAACTGCCAGGAACACCTGGATGTCTGGGATAGTCAATGTCATCTCAAAATAAATGATGCACTGCCAGTCATGTGGGAAGCTGTGTTCAGCTCAGGATCTCCACTGAATAAAAGTGAAACCAGTGTTAAGGTCTGAGTGATTTTCTCAGTGGTAATGTGTATGACTAAAGGAATACAACACCCAGTCAAGGATACCACAGTCAGGAAAACTGTGCCTGCCATATTTGCCCTAAGGACAAGCTCACATTCCAACACAAATTGCTTTGCTCATTTCTCTGAAAAAGAGAAATTCAACATTTTGTTTAAACTCCTACATGCAATGTCTCCAACCATTCTATTAGCTTCTATGAAGAAAAAGCAAGCCAGGAAAAGACATTGACATTTTTCTCAGATGGGCACATGTTTCTCCAAGGCCCTCTTCTCCATCTACCATTACATACTACATGTTCAGCTTCTCTTCCTTTACCTGTTCCCTGTTCTCACAGCCTCAGTCTCTCTCCCTTCACCAGTGCCCCGTGACCAAGTTGTCCATGTTGGAGGCAGCCCCTCCCACACTCCCCTGTTCCCAGTATCACTGCAGATGGTTCTGCTCCCATTGCTGTCTCCCACAGGTGTGTCTTCAGGCCCATGGTTGAGTGGTGGCTCCTGATCACTCCAAACTCCATGTTCCTTGCACCATCCCTCCCTTTGCTCCTACCTACCTTGAATTCATCAATCCAATCTTCATCCAACTCTTCCTGGTTTTTGGTTTTTTTTTTTCCATCCCTCTCTGTAACTCTGTAATTCATGCAGTCATTTCTTACATTCTGCTTCTTTCAAGTTCTTCTTCAACAGTTCCACCTTTCTATCTGTGATATATGCACTAATCTCTTCACCATTAATGCACACATCACTTAGTGCACATGTTGCTGTCATCCTTTGGAATCTCTTACAATCTCTGTATGCTCCTCACCATTTCTCCAAGATTTGTCATCATAAACAATAGCCAGGGCTGCACACAAAGCAGTTTTTATATACTAGACAATGGCTGTGAGCAGAGCCCAGGTGCAGCAGGAGCTGTTGGCAGAGATCAGTGAGGACATCTGGCATTAACACCACCTGCTCACATCCCAACATTAAGTTGTTCACTACCCATTTGTACCATCTGTTCCTGGTCTGACCACCCCGATTGACAGCACCAGTTGTCCAAGACACAAAACTGGTTGAAACTACACCAACAGGATGGCTGTTGGTGGCAGAAGACCGATTCTGGGAATGGAGAAGGGTGTCCTTAAACATTCATCTTATACCCACCAAGAGCAAAAACATTCTCCCTGGGCAGCTCTGGAGGCTACATACAGTGGGAAGAAACATCAAAAGCCCAAAGTGATATGCAGAAATTTTTAATGAGTGTTTAAAGAGGAAACTTTTTTTGACCCCAACAGAGGTTCTGCAGTGCAGGATTCACCTGATCCTGTGGTAGACATCATGCAGGGCATATGCCTGGCTTTCCAGCAGAGGATTGGCTGGCTCAGGGTAGTCCCAACACCCAGAGGAGCCTAGACGGGGGGCAAAAAAAAAAAAGAAAATGGAAAGAGGTAGGTGGTGGAATGGAAGAAGAGACATGAGCCAGGCTTTCAGAAAGGGCAGTCATCCTTCTTCCTGTCAGCATTTTCTAGAATAGTTGAGGATGGTCAGGTATTCTGAAATCAGTGTCCTGAAGGTTCCACCTCTGTCTGGTAGTTTTTGGAAGAACTTCCCCAGAACCATGGTCAGCATCTTTAGCAGGGGTAGCACCTTCTGCCACAATAGCGGCTTCCAAAATCAGAGAGGTCAAAGCCCCCCGAGGTGATAGGCACACCCTCAGAGCTGAGGATGCTGCCAACAGCAGCAGAGGTGGAGGATCCCACAACAGTGTTCTGCGGGAAGGAGCTGAGGATGGGTCCAGGCAGGGTCACCACCACGGGAGAGGGCTCGATGACAACGTTGGAGTTCTGGCACTGCCTGACACAGGGCTCATTGCAGCTGCTGGCTAGAGGAGTTGGGCCGCATGGCCGGCATGGCACACACTGGGAGTAGCAGGACATGTCTTGGGACTGGAAATAAACCTAGGAGAGAGTTAGGAGGAAACACAGTACATGACTATGTGAAGAGCAAGTGGATACCCTCTCACAAAGGAGCCCAGGCAGCTACTATGAATGGAGATGAAGGCTGTGACAGCATGTCACATCCCTTTGTCATGCCAGAGCCCTACAAAGAGCAGCCTGACTCAGGGAGACTCTCACACAGTGCATAAATCATAACCAATAAGCTGTGTCCCAGTCACTCTCTGCAGACGTATCCTTCTCCCATAGCAAGGAGCTCCAATCCCCAGCATAGGACAGAATAACTATTTGATAAGAAGGACACTGAGGCAAAATCTCGCTTTGCAAGAGGATAGAGGGCTTCACACTTACCTAGTTCCAAAGGAGAATGAGGTGAGAGAAGTGGATGGGGGAGCTGGGAATTGGGCTGCCTTTTATACTGGTCCTTCATTGCTGCAGGCCCAGAGGTACCCTTAGCAGAGGTAATAATTTTCTGACAGGCTCACCTTAAATGCAAGCCATCCTTGCTAATGATATGAGCTGTGCTTTAGTTTCCTGCAGTGCTGCCTTTTCATTTCCAGATTTATGCCATGCCCATCCTCTAATGAAGGCTTTTTTTGAGTGCTGAGATGAAAGGCCTGAGGACTTTTAGGGCAGGATTGCACTGATGAGACAGAAAACTCAGCTCAAGTGCCGGACCAGTCCTGAGCAGGTAAGTGTCATCAGCTTGGTTCACTGCAGTGGGGCTGTTTGAGGAAGCCATCCTCAGGATAATTTCCAGCAAGTATCATCTGAATACCCAAGTCTTCCTGTGCGTGAGAATGTGTCATGTCCTTTTCTTTCCCTGCCTCCTCATCTTGCTTTGATGGCCATTTTTTTTTTTTTTTGGCCTTCCCATGGGTATAGGTTTCCTGCTGGTTTTTAAACCCATCCTATGTAACACTCTGGAAAAGAGTTTGACTTGTTCCCTCTCTATGCTATCTGTAAATTCACAGAAAATGTCATAGAATCATAGCATAGTTTTGGTTGGAAGGGATATGAAACTTCTCTAGTTCCATCCACCTCTATAAGCAGGGATACTTTCCACTAGATCAGGTGGCTCAGAGTCCTATCCAGCATGACCCTGAATATTGCTAGGGATGGAGCATACACAACTACTCTGGGCAACCTGTTTCAGTGAAGAATGTATTCCTAATATCTAACCTAAATCTACTCTTTTTTACTTTAAAGACATTACACCTTCTCCTATCATTGCACTCACTGATAAAGAGTAGTTGTAGATGGAAAATGACTATACTATACTGCACTTGTAGGAGAGAGGCTAGAATATATTTATTGATAGATAAAATATAGTGATTTAACTAAGCTTTACTGTAACTAAGGCTCAAGTTAATGAGATTCGAGATGGCTGGATACACTTAATTATTTACTACACACAGGGTAGGGTTAAACACACACATACATCCCTCTGTGAACAGTGCTCTTGTCATACTAAATCCTATTGGTGCAGCAAAGAGTTGGCTCTGGGAACAGCTGTTCTGGAAGCTGACTAAATTAGCTATGATGGCTTCTAAGAAGAAATCTTTCTGTTGGAGCAAACACCTACTGGAGAGCTATGGATATGAAGGATGGACTGTTCTGTGGATTAAGAATTGGTTGACTGGATGCAGCCAAAGGGTTGTGATTACTGGTTCTGAGTCAGGATGGGGGCCAGTCGCAGGTGGTGTCCCTCAGGGGTCAGTCTTGTGACTGGTGCTCTTCAACAGCCAGCAGGGAGAGGGAGGTGATTGTCCCCCTTGTCTCAGCTCTTGTGAGACCCTGTCTGGAATACTGCATCCACACCTGGGGCCCCCAGTACTGGAAAGATGCAGAGCTCTTGAAACGAGTCCAGAGGAGGGCCACTAAGATGGGCTGGAGCACCTCTCCTATGAGGAAAGGGTGAAGGAACTGGTGGGATTGTTTAGCTTAGAGAAGAGAAGGCACTGGGGAGACCTCATTGTGGCCTTCCAATACTTGATGGGAGCATATAAAAAGGAGAAGGAACGGCTGTTTACGAGAGTGGATAGTAATAGGACAAGGGAGAATGGTCTTAAACTGAGATGGGGGAGGTTTAGGTTAGATATTAGGAGGAAGTTTTTAACACAGAGGGTGGTGACGAACTGAAACAGGTTGCCCAAGGAGGTTATGGATACCCCATACCTGGAGCCATTCAAGGCCAGGCTGGGAAGAAAAAGAGATTGAAGAAAGGAGATTGCCTGTTCCTGAGAGGGGTAGGAAGATAGAAAAGTAGCTTCAAGCTTCAAGCTGTTTTGGAGGCCATTGGGAGGAGGATTTTAGCTCTGTCCTCATGCTTCGAAAGTACCAGATATGTGAGAGAAGGTTCAAGGATTTGAGAAAAGCAGGAAATCTAGTAGACAAAAAAAAAAATAGATCTGTTGGTTTGTGGGTACACTACTAAGTCATTCCAAAATGACAGTCTAACTTTTTATTTTTCTAGCTGTGTTACATTACTGATAATGACTGTCTATGAGATTAATCTTTACTATTTCCTTCATATTTGTTACTTCCCAGGTGTCCTGAAAAACAAATGCCATTACTTAGGTTGCCAAAGACTGAGAGACCCATTGAAGACTTAGTTGTCACTAAGGGTGCAGACAGAGAGTCTACATTATCATTCTCTGTTAACAGGCTCACATCTTCTGTGCTTCCATGTCTACTCTTACAACTGGAAAGTTGGATATGCATAGTGTCTGCAGAGAAGCCAGGAGATGGTTTTTCTACATGGCCATCTGCAGGTTCCCAGAACTCCAAGGTGTCCTCCATAAAGAAGTTCATTGTGTTGTTGACTGAGGGACCAAAATGAGTCACTGCCAGAGTAGACAGAACCAGAGGGGGAGTGTTTGAGGTATGAGAACCTTTTGTCTTTCCTGCTTTCTTTACCCTCCTTGCTAAGTCATCTCCACCAAGTCTGCTCTTGAGGAAGGTGGGTTTCTGACTCTCATATACCAACAACTGAATTGGTCTCAGCCTTCACTTCAGATCATTGTTGAGTCCATCCATCATGTCAGAAGGGAATTGTGCTACGAACTCTATCCCAATTCTGTATTTTACCACTGCCCAGAGCCCCAGAGGCCCCCAAAACAGCTTATAGTGTTTGGACCTCAAATGCTGGAATCAAAACAGGTCCAGAGGGATGAGGGACAATCCACATTCAATTCCCTGCCACCTCAGATAGTTCCTTTGGCCCTGAATGCACAGTTTGGGGCTCTTACTTCCTTCTGTACAGCCTAGCATTTTCGCTGGCAAAGCTTGTTGTGGGGAGATGTTTCCTACATTAGTGGCACAGATTTACTCTCCATTATCTTGACACAGATCCTGTGAATGTGAGTTCTGCTGGAGGACAAATTCCCCATGGAACAAAGCTCTAGCGTACCAGAAAAAGTAAGGAGATGGAGATTTTCTCACACTGGCAAATTCCCCAATGCCATTTCTGCAGGTCTCAGTCTAGTCTTGGTCTCTAAGAACAGAAGGAAGGTGCCCAGGGCCTAGAGAATTGAGTAGAGATAGTGGCTCTGATCTGAGCCATAGCAGGAGGACTGTGAGGAGAGCATTGCCTAGTGCATGGGATCTTGCATGCATGAGTTCTTATTTCAAGTTCAGCAGTGCCTTCAGGAATTCCTTCTTTGCACAGGAAATGGTGGTTCCCTCAGGATGACAAACATTTTAATCACTACCTTGAAAGGAAATTGTAGTATGATTGAAGAGAGTACTTAAATGTTGCTGTTAATAGTGAAGCTGCATGTCCTTCATACAAACTCAGGAAAGATGAAACTGAGAAGACAGTGGACATGAGGCTGCAGAAAGCAGTGAGTTGCTTTGGGGTACCATTTCAGCTATCATTTCCCAGTGAACAACAACATGTAAACTGACCAAAAAGTGGGGATTTCCTGCAGAGATGTACAGGGAACAGGTGCTTTGTGCAACTTAGGACATGCAGAGCTGTGATAGAAAGTGTGATAGCTGTGAAACTGTGGTACTCCAGGGAATATGGGCTCTGTGCCTTGACTTCTTCATTACCCTGCCTCACCACAGTGCAATCTGAGGTCACCTGCAGTTCACAAGGAAGGTATAGCAAGGCCAAGATGTAGATCATGGGTGTCCAACCCTTTGGCTTGCCTGGGCCACACTGAATGAAGAGGAATTGTCTTGGGCCACATATAGAAGACATAATAGAGTTAATGTATATAATTAACAAAATTTTTATTTTTACATAGTGTTTATTAAAACAAAAAAGAGGGCAATAAAACTAATGGGAATTTGATCTTGTTTTTGTGAAACTATTGCATAAATGTCTGGTTCTATGGAAATGGTTGCAGTTCTTAGTGAGCTCTCATGGTGCTCATCAGAGATTTTTGATCTAATTTTACTCTTCCTGTCCTCCATCCTTGACAATAGTTGTTCACAAATATATTTACTGCCAAAAAGTGATGACACTAAAAAGGCATAATTGTGAAGTGAGGGATATTTCTCTCTGTTAAGATAGGGCTTATAAAAATCTAGTAAAGAGACATAATCAAATTTTTGAGTTGAATATCTGATTGTAACTCTGAACACTCCATTTGAAAATTTGCATATTTATGTCGACTGAAGATGGAGTTGCAAATATATAAGAAAAATTGATTATTTTTTTGGCTGTCCTGAAACCTATTCACAAATTCCTTTATCAAAATGGAAAGTGAGGCAATTATTACTTGTATATTGCCCCCAGGTGGTCGGAATAGCAGAAACACTAATAAAGTACATATTGCAAAACTAATGAAAATACATTACAAATATTGAAAATTTAAAAATTTGTCAGCATTGCATCAGTATTCTGGATATTTCTTTAGCAGTGAATGTGTTAACTTATTCAATTATTTCATGAAATAACACAGCTCACGTTTAATAATAAAATGAGAAAACCTACACATCTGCTTAATAACAAAAACGTGTTTCCACAGGCACGCATGCATGTAGGTATGTTGAAATATTATTATTACTGTATTTTACTCACTAAGTGGCACAAGAGCACATAAAATACAATACATGTGGATTTATATTTGACTGAATGCTTGTGGTGAGTGCAAGAAGTGGAGTTAATTCTTCACTGCACTTCTCCCTACTGCATTCTATTGTTGCCTATGCAGCCCATGCTCAAGCTATATGCAATCAACTCACAAAAATGTTTTTTGTCTCTTCCTCTAGTGAATGCAGTCCCAGAGACCTCAGTGTGTGTGTCTGCCTCAGTGGTTGCTCCTAGTCAAAGCCTCTGATGGGCCCGGGATTTGGCCCAGATGGTGCACACATCACCAGCCATAGCAAAAATGACCCAGCATAGAGCAGGGGCTGAGGGCAAAAACTTGTTCCACTATCATCCAAATGGCACAACAAGACTCAAGCTAATAACTACTC